AGCACATATTTGAGTTTTTATCTCTGTATTGCTGAGCCTGACGGGCGAACAAAACTATGCAATATTATCCTCATATTTGTTCCCCCCGGACTGGACAAATCCCAGGAGACAGGCAGCCAAGGTTCCTTTAAAATTACAGCTGGTGCCTAACTATTGGGGTTTTCTAGCAGTTGTTAATGGGGCTGGCTCTTAAAAAAAAAAAAATTCTTGTTGGCTCCTGGATTGGGCAGACTGGCTCCTGAATTCCATATTATACTGTCCACCCCTGTTTTACACAATTATTAACATTTTCGTGGACAATCTGTTGTGGTATTGGCCAATCCTGAAGGTTTGGTAGCCCAGCTATCCTGTAGTACTCAAGAATCAATTCATCTTCTTTCACCTGATTGCCTTTTCAATTGGCGTGTCCATTGCTAGGTAAAAAGCTCCATGTGAGGACAGAACACCACAAATTTTCAGGGCGTCAAACTTCACCTTACAGAAATATCCATCATCTAGCAGACCTTACCTTCATGATGTTTTGCTCTTCTGATGACGCAGGCGAACAATCATCTAATGCAGGCATGGACAAATCTATAGAAAGAAACAGTAAGCATGTACAACCTTATCAAAGGTTTAATAGGTAACAGGTAATAGGTGGGTAATGGAAAAGAAAAAAACAGAGAAAGATAAAAGAAAGCAAAAAGGGGAAAGAAAAAGGAAGCACAAAGAAAGGAAGAGGAAGCAGAGGGAGGAACCAAGAGTAGTCAGAATCTACAAGAAAAGCAGGGGGATGAACAGGTTACCGCAAACCCCTAAGTCCTGTATCTGGAATGCAAAGAAGGGAGGAATAGTCATCAGACAAAGTAAACGCGTTCCATTGAAAAACATCTTGCAATATTTCTCTTCTCTATGATGCCCAACTTTTGAGGTTTTCTGGAATTGTTGTCAATCAAACTGGCTCCTAAAAACACCCTGCTGGTTCCTGAATTCCATATTAAATTGTCTACACCTGATCTATTGGACGGTTGTGAGAAGGTACCCACAATCCCTAGTAGGTAGTTGAACATGCAGGAGTAGGTGAAAGGTGCTGGATCCGAATATAAAAAGTCAGATCTATGATGTGCAATGGTTAGGCAGCTCTCATGTGCTAAAAATCCTAAAGGGATGGGTTCTAAGAGATACAAAGGAAAAAAGGGCACCATGCCTATGATAGAGAGTCCAAATTTGTTTCCTTATAAGATAAGCTTACACATTTTGGGGCCTTATAGTAACCCCTTCATCAGGGCTCAGTAGGCTGGCTGGGAAGAAATGAAGGACACAAAAGACCAGAATTACTCATTGCGAAGCTTGAGAAACATTCAAGTGGGTGTATCTGTAAAAAATAAGTCAAGGCAACTGGACTGGCTGTATTTTTCTTGAAGACGTTTCAAGAAAAATACAGCCAGTCCAGTTGCCTTGACTTATTTTTTACAGATATACCATGACCTGGATGAATGAGAACCTTCACAGACACATTCAAGTGGGTGGCCCTGTCGACACCAACTGTCTCCAGAAAAGTTGATTGAAAAAAATCAAAGAAGCCGGGCGGCAAATTCTTAGCCACACAGTCACTGCATCCGGTCAGATGCAGTCAATGTTTGGCTACTAAGTCACTATGTCGCCCTGATGAAGGGACCCTGCATGGCCCCGAAACGTTGGCTTTTCTGATACATGTGACATCAATAAATGATCAGCAACATCTAAAAACGATATTTTCTGAGTGCTGGTGATTCTCCACTTCTCTGTACTTGGCTACTAAGAATGTGGCGGTGACGGCTGTCTGTCTGGCTGCAGCAGCTGGCTAGCTTTCGACCAGTTAGTCCTCTAACTATGGACCATGTAAGTCTTGTGACTTGTAAATTAACAGCTTGTGTTTGACGTATTGGTAGAGTTTATGCTATAAGCCGAATTACATTTGTTCGTTTTGACACACTGCGAAGTGTCTGTCAGCAGGAAATGCCTGGCGCAATAACTGCTCTGAGCAGATGTGACCGCTGGTGTATGATGCATTTTCGAGAGGCTGTCAAAACACTTGTAGGCGATGGAAAAGTGATATATCCTCATTTGAGTGTAAATAAAGTTGTGCCAGTGTGTTATACTCCGGAAATGAAGGAGATCCAGCTCCAGAACAGATCTTTGCTACTGGTAACAGCATATGCTTCCTGAGCACTAAGTCAGCTCAATAGCTGCCCCAGGCAATTATTAAAGTCAATCTATGAACTGTGAATGCCTTCCAGGATATATCGCAACTCTGCTAAATTTAGAATGTCTAGCGCTGTAAATTTTAAAGGAAAGCTTTAACGCTTCGGGTCAATTTAATTTTAAAATACAGTATCTACAGCACCTAAGTCTAGAAATGTAGGTAGTATTTAACCATACTCCCCATAAGATTATGTACTGGTTAATGGATTATGTAAAACGTGGACATTTGTGCACAGTATATAATCTTATAATCATCATATAATCTTAACAATGGTTAGGTAAATACTTCCTAATTTTGCTGGTTCCCACTCCTCTCTTGGGAGTGTCTAATATCTGTCTGTGGTGGCCCAGCTCTCCCCCCACCCTTCGCCTAAATAACCTCAAATGTATCTGTCTGGGGAGGAGTGAGGAGATAATACAGAGAGATTTTAGTGCCATCTCTGAGCCCTGGGTCACACCTAGGCGTTTTTGAGCAGTTCGAAAAGCGCTTTTAACTGCCCAACACAAGAAATCCCATGATTTTCAATGGCCCTGGTTCACACCTGAGCAGGAAATTGCCAGGCGCCTGAAAAGATACAGGAGCTTCTTTGGGCAGTTAAAAGCCCCTTTTTCATTGGAAATGCCCAAAACCGTGCAACAGAAGCATGTTGCACATTTTCGTGAGCGTTTTTGCGTGTTTATACGCGCGTTCATCTATTGAACACAATGGTTTATGAGCTGCCAATCAAAACGTGCGTCCCAGGAGACCAACAGGAAGTGAGAGGAAATCTTCGCTTAGCTGGGTAAAAATTGAGAAATCTTCCCCATTCAAAACTTTTCCTTCTATTCTGGTGACATATAGTTTGGATTTCCAGTGACTTTTGGATAGAGTAAGAAATGGTCAATGTTCTGTAGGCAAGATTTGTCTTTTCATCGGTCCCAGAAACAAAACAGGAAGTGAGAGGATATCTTCTCTTAGCTAAGGGAAGATGGGGAACTCTTCCCCATTCTGGTGACGACGCTTGGACTTCCAGTGACTTTCAATGGTCACCAGGACAAATAGAGAAGATGAATCCCACCAACGGGGACAAAGACATCAATAATGACCCAACAAGGATTCTAACCCCTCAGGTTTGGTTTGCAATTGTCCTAACACAAATCTCTCCTTTTCCTTTTTAAAGTGACTCTGTCATGAGAAAAGCATGGGCCGGCCATTGCTGACCTCACCTTTGAGAATGTTAATTCCCCATGGCCATGCGTTGACTTTAATGTTGCCTTTGACTTGACACAAGTATAGCGATAAGAAATTCTGACGCTCATTAACAATATGCTTGTTCTGAGTCTGTAGAAGATGATCACTAGCATTCCAGTAGTGCGAGTTCTGGGGATCTTCATCTTCTACAAGTCTGATACACACGATGCCATCCGTGACTATCACCACGAGCACCATCGTTTTTTCAGGCCCAATCGCTGTAAGGAGTGCAGGGGACACATCCATATAATACATGTTCTGAGGCTGTGACGCAAACATATTCACGTAGAAGAAGGCCATCAATGGAAGCTCTCATACTTTCATCATGACAGAGTCACTTTAAAAATGGTGTGGACGTGTATAAAACCAATGAAGAAAGCTCTCTTGTGGCTCGCCGTACATTTGCTTACCTTGGGTTATTCCAAATAAACCTTGACTACAACATAATAGAGTAACTTGTAGTTTGCTGAGGCAGATCCCATAAGGATCCTCAGCTAGAAGCTTCTTCTGTGATGATTCATTTGCATGCAGTTTGAATAAAAAATATATACAGAAAGCTTTTTCAAAATAGCCTGCTGATGAAATGCTAATTTTATCTGTGTGGTTTACACTTACAGGAGATGGGTTTATCATTGTGGTTTACCAACCTGGCCACATAATGCTATTTCAATTTCATAAGAACATCAGGAAATTCTGTATAGCCAGTAGGAGTAAAGGTCACTTCTATATTATTTTTGTATGCCCATGGACACACACTTGAATAGCCAGTAAGGGGAAATGGTCACTTTTGTATGACCATGGACAGATCCTTGAATAGCCGGTAGGGAAACAAGTCACTTCTGTATTACTTTTGTATGACCAAGGACAGATCCTTGAATAGCCAATAGGGGAAAAGCTCACTTCTGTATTACTTTTGTATGACCATGGACAGACCCTTGAATAGCTAGTAGGGGAAAAGGTCACTTCTGTATTACATTTGTATGACCAAGGACAGATCCTTGAATAGCCGGTAGGGAAAAAAGTCACTTCTGTATTACTTTTGTATGACCATGGACAGACCCTTGAATAGCCAATAGGGGAAAAGCTCACTTCTGTATTACTTTTGTATGACCAAGGACAGATCCTTGAATAGCCGGTAGGGAAGAAAGTCACTTCTGTATTACTTTTGAAAGAAAAGATTGTTTTTGCTGTCTGTTCAGTTCAAATGATGTGATAAGGAATCTGCATTTCTGACATCAACAGATATTTTCTATACTTGCTGAAAATGTTCTTTGCCTTAAAAACTAATGCGGCCACCACATCTAAGCACTGGTAGGCTGCAATATATTACAGTTTTGTTATTGTGTTTAGATCTATTTTAACACTTATGCTCAATTCTTTTGACTGACATAGCCCTTAGCTAAGACCTTACACTAATCATCCCTTGGATAATCACATTTTACCCAAGTCGAATCCTCACAGCGCTGGTGCTGATAGTAATGACCTTGAATTTTGGAAGATGTAGATACACTACACTATGACCATACTATGTTCTTTATCATTCTAGGTGATGTTGGTTGGCGATTCTGGAGTGGGAAAAACTTGTCTTCTGGTCAGATTTAAGGATGGCGCATTCCTGGCTGGTAGTTTCATCTCCACTGTTGGGATTGACTTTCGGGTAAGCTGCTTTTGATACCTTCTTTTGCTTTTTTTTTTTAGAGACATACGTGCTATAACCATGGCAATCTCAGAAATTGCCCTTGCTTAGGGCCGTGTTATATCATTCCACTCTCAGGGGCTGTGATATCTGCACACTTTTAGGTTTTCAATGAGCATCTAGAAATAATAGGTATAGATGGGGGCCAGCAAGCTGAATCTGCTAGCAGCTTTTTCATTCTCTTCTGGATCAGCTGAAATCACAGCTCTTCTGTTCCTTTGGTTGTGTCATGGCCACAAAAATGGTTGGAGCTGGGAACTGTGGTGATCTCAAAACTGAGTGGCGTCTGGTTAATGGATCCAACACAAAAGAATCTTTATATAATGGAAAGAGACCTTGTACTGTAACAAACTTTTGAAAGAATAAGTGTACCAGTTACAATCAAATTAACTGTTGGTTTTATACATCATATCTAGAGCTGCAGCTAACGATTATTTTCAAAATCGATTAGTTAGCCGATTATTAAGTCCGATTAATCGGTTAATCGGATACAAAATAAAATAAATCATTTCTATGCAGCACTTGCTTCAATAAAGCATCTGAAAGTATGCAGAAAAATTTGCTGAGGGGAGGAGAGCAACTGCAGTTTGTTCCATTTATATATGAAGGAAAGCATACCCAGTATTCTGACTCCAATTGCTTAAATTGTGATGTAACCCTTTCTGAGACTTCTATGCCCAGCCGGTATATAGCAAATACAATTACTATGGACAATCTTCATCAGATAGGTGAACTCACCAAATACCTTTCATCCATTAAGTTCTTTACTGAATGCAGCAGGTTACTAGCAGACAATAGAATGTAACAGATGGTTGAAATGATGGTATTTGCAGGTCAAAAAAGGGTAATGCCTTCCTCCTTATGTGCACCTGTGGCCAGAAAATGGCTTAATCGAATACACAGGAAGAAGGAGGTGTTTCATTATACAAATGGAGGAAACACAGAAAAATGTGGGGCAATAAACAAAGTAACCACAAAATGACAGCATACTAAATATTAACCTCTTGCCGTCCGCCCGTAGTAAAAAAACGGACGGACGGCAGCATACAATTGCTGTGGCAGCACACCCGGTAGCTCTTCAAACGCGCATGCTGCCTGCTCATCCCTGCCAGTCAATCATGGGATAGTCTAGGAAGCATGTTCATTTAAATGGATGTCTATATTTTATACAACTACATGTGGAGAGAGCCCCGTATGTGCAGATCAGCAGCTGGAAGGAATACACTATATTGCCTAAAGCAATATAGTGCTTTGGTACTATGTTGCTGTAGATGTGAACACCCCCCTGCAAATTATTGAGTTTAGGTGTTTCATGTGAAGGGTATTGTTACAACATACAAATGCATTTTGGCAATTGTGCACTTCCAACCTTGTTGCAGCAGTTTGGGGAAGGTCCTTAACTGTGCCCCTGTGCACAAAGCCAGCTCCATAAAACATGGTTTGATGAGTTTGCTGTGGAGTGTCCAACACAGAGCCCTGACCTCAACCCAACTGAACACATTTGGGATAAATTGAAACTCCAACTGCAAACCAGGTCTTCTTATCCAACATCATTACCTGACCTTACGAATGCTCTTTTGACTCAATGGGCCCAATTACCCACAGACACACTCACAAATCTTGTGAAATGCCTTTCCGGAAGGGTGGGATGGAGGCTGGAGGGGCAACAAGCTCATATAGAAGTGATGGTCTGATGTCTGCAAATTCTTGGATTCTTGGTGGTATAAATACCAAACGTGTGACAGTTACAGGATATATTGAATAGTTTTTACTTAAGAGACTTGCATATAAGAAGTTTCCAGCTGTAAATGCATACTGGCGCAGAGATAGTTCTAGCTAGCAAAGGAGAAATTGATGAATTGAGCTTTATAGCTTGAATCGCTTTTATATTAAGTCTGCCTCATATATACAGCTTTGCTCCTTATGCACTGCTTTGCTGTCTGACAAGCTTGAAAATGATTGACTCCTTCTTGTTGCTCTTGCTGTATGTGTAGCTGTAGAGGGAAGAAGCTGCACTGTATCACACGGATCGGTTTGAACAGGGGTAGCCAAACTTCGCCACTCCAGCTGTTGAACTACAAGTTCCATAAAGCATTGCAAGACTCTGACAGCAGCAGGCATTACTCCCAAAGGCAGATGCATGATGGGATTTGTTGGCCTACCACCAAACAGACTATTCCTCCTTCAGTCTATCATGACTCATCCACCTTACCAACCGTTCAGTGTCTGCCGCCATTCTCTCCAATGGCTCCCAATTGCCCAACTAATAAAATTCAGAATACTAACAATAACATAAAAAGCCATCTAAAACTCTGCCCCCGACTACATCTCCAACCTCACCTCAAAATATCCTATTATCCAATGGAAGGCTCTGACCTATTTGCTAAATCCAGGTGGTGACTTTTTTTTATTTGGCCAGGCAGTGTACTTTCCCCTGTGCCACTGATCTTTGCAAAGAATCTGACACTTCCAGGAGTCCCAATTGCTGGTCCCCTGCTGCAGTCATTGGTTCGATCCGCTGGCCTCTGTGTCACTATAGTGTCCTGTAGTGATGTAGGGGCCAGCGGGAGAAACCACAGAGCGGAGCAGGGAACCCGGCATTTGAAACCCTCTGAACTGTTGGATTCTGAAGATTCATTAGCCAGTGGTATTTCCCTTACTGCAGCAACAATCGATGGCACGGGTGTCGGGAGAGGTAAGCACTGTCTTTTATGCAAGGTGCACTTATACAAGTGACAGAGTCGCTTTAATACTATATTTTGTTACCAAATGCCCTCATGTGACCTAAAATTAGACAAACTAAATCATGTTGCTGGCCATCAGGAGCTGGAGCCCAGGCAGACAGATCCTATCTGGTAGTCTTACAGGGAGGAAAAAAATTATCAGAGCCGTCATTTGTAATCCGCAAATAAGACAACCCCCGTGTACCTATAGGATTACTAGCTATACAGGGAAGCAAAGTTTTTAGAACATTAGGCAGGCTACATTAGGATAGCTTATTTTTGGCTATTGAGATAAATATCTTAGATTAGCTGTAATTAATTTGCAGGTGGTATGCTAATTAATTGTTGATTTATGTGGTTGAATTACCTACGATAATGTGACAAATTGACCATGTGGTACTTGTTATATTAAGTGATAATTCATAATAATCTGTAATGTATTTATATTGGAACAATTCCATAAGTTTGTTCTTGTGTTAATGTGTTTGATTCATTGTCTAGTGAGATGCAGGGATTAGTTAAAGCTTAACCGATTTGATTGAATATTGTGATTCATTTTATTAGATCTGAAAGCCTGGCAGATGAAAAATCTGCCCACTTGATCCAGTTTATCTATTCATAAAAAAAAAATAACTAACTGGATTTTTAATTGCTGCTACAATAAGTATTTAAATCTGTATTTTTATTGATTTTCTATAATCCCATAATCCCCATGCACACTAGTTCTCGCATAGAGAGATGGAGGGCCCGCACTGTCGGTGAGTCAGGGTCATATTGCATTGCAGAGTCGTCACTTGGGAAAATGATTACAGGAGAGAGAAGCTCATGCAGACCTCATGAGTGCTCCTCCATTGTCCCACAAGAAGGCTTGGTTCAGGGCGATGGCCAGTCTATAATGTCAGTCAATACCCCATTTCTGGGGCCCAAGTATTTTATATTTGCATATAAAACAGATAACTAGGTATGCACTGATACCATTTTTTCGATACGATATTTTTTTCCCCGGTACTCATCGATACCGAATAATGATATGGAAGTCCCGTTGAGGAAGCAAGGCGGCGTGTGAAAACTCGCCACCTGGCTTCCCGATTAGCAGGGAAGCCGTCTCCATGCCTCTCGTCACTAGATGACGAGAAAGCATGGAGCGGGCTTTTTGGCCAAACGGCTCCATGCTTCCTCGTCAAGAGGTGATAAGGGAGCATAAGGCCTGCTTCCCGGCCAATCAGAGAGCCGGGCGCCGCGTCATTACATGGCGCCTGGCTTCCTGATTGGCCAGATTCCCAACCAATCAGGAAACCGGGCAGCGAGTCATTACAAGGTGCCTGGCTTCCTGATTGGCCTGGGAAGCCGACTCCATGCTCCCTCGTCACAAGTAACAAGGGAGCATGGAGCCGGCTTCCCGGCCAATCAGGAAGCCGGGCAGCGTGTCATGACTCGCCGCCCGGCTTCCTGCTACAGTAAGTTGTGGTATTGGGATACTCAGAATCGGTACCGGCTTCCTGATACCAGAAGCTCGGGTATCGGGCTAGGCATTGGAGTATTTGGGCGAGTAAGAGTACTTGTCCAAATACTCGGCATCTGCACCGATACCGATACTAGTATTGGTGTCGGTGCCTCCCCACAGATAACAGAACAAATATACAAATTATGTTTTTTGTTACATTTTATATAGATCAATCCTTATCTGGAAAGTCATCCAATATATGAGCAAACACCGTATACTGACAACATGTACCATAAAGTGGAGTTTATTATAACTGTCAACTGCTAATGCAAAAAAAAGGCGCCATAGACAGTTTTTCCTTGGTTGCACTTCAAAATGTCCCTGGTAAGACTACATATAGGTTAAAGAAAAAGGAGGAACCAAACATGGTTAGAACACAAATGTATTTACAAAGGCGATGGCCAGAGTCCTCCCTGCAGAAGGGAAGTTGTAAGATTTTAATATAGAAGCAATAACTATTGCCTCCTGCAGCCAAACCACATACCACACACACCAATCTTGCCTCCATCATTTTAAGCTATGCCAGAACCATCAAGGGGATACATCACTTTCGGTGGGCATGAGCAGCGGCTTCCCACCAAAGTATGACGAGCTCCAAGCTGGAGTGCATACAAGATGTCTACACATCAAATGTGCCACCGATGACACTGAGATCTCCCGTAGTCGGACACCTGGAAGGGAACATCTCACACTGGCTGGCTGAGTAACCAGGCAGAAGTCCGCAAAGCCTACAT